ACCCGTGGGCTCAGGCAATTCACTCACCTCAGCCTCCCAAGGCGCAGGATTACAGGCTGAGCCACAGAGCCTGGCTGTGACTAAATTTCTAAGGGGAGAATTCCAGGAGTTGTGTCAGGCCAGCTGAGGGTGTGGGGTGATGTGAGGCATCTTACCTTTTGAGTAAGAGGGCACGTGCAGACCTTACTAATCACATGGTAACACAGCAGCCAATGTGAGTGTTGACAGTTTTTCCTGGACACACTTTCTTGAGCACACTCTGAAGGGAGCGAGACTATCAGGAAACAAGCTTATGCTGAAAATGCCCCCAAAAGATCCTCTCAGAAAACCAAGAGCTGCCACCACCCTGCGAGCCAGGTCACGGGGACTGTGCTGGCGACTCAGGTGGCAACCATAGCTTCAAAGCCCAGAAGCCAGCGCCTCTCAAGCCACCAGCCGCCACAGAGCCACCACCTACCTGAGCATACTGCTTCTTGAGTGGACTGGAGAGCCGCAGAACAGCACAGACATCAACTCTGAGCCTATGGGACAAGGAGATCAGAATCCAGGTAACCTTTCAGGAGCTTCCAGGGCCCAGAAGAGGAGGCCTGGGTTGAAATCTCATTTTTACCACTGGAATTATATAATTCTGGCAGGTCTCAGTGTCCCTGATCCTATTTCTTCATCAGAAAACGGGGTAACATTTTCTATTCTGTCTCCCACACAGGATTATTATAAAACTCAAATGAATACAAAAGAGCTCCGAAACTAACAGGTAAAAACCATAAATGATGGTGACAATGTGAACCTCTAGGCCTGGCAATATTCCAGCCAGATGAGGTTACTGCTGAGACCCAGAACTAATAACTCTGACAGCCAGGATATCTCATACTCAACTGACTTGGGATATGTCATAAGTCATTCACTGATTCAGGTTTACTTAACCAACCATTTATTGGATACTGTGTTTGGATCTAGGTGATACAAATATGGATAAGCACAGGACTCCTGCCTGGCATTGAGACATTCACAGATACACTTAACATGGTGAGGTAAATGTTTTTTTGGGTTTTTTTTAATTTCCCAGAAGGGGTACACCATTCCTGGAAGTCCTGCAATACCAGGTCGATGTGTGGAGTGGACAGAGCAAGCTCCTATTCCATCTCCTAATTCCAAAACTCCATTTAAAATATTGTCCTCAGATAGAGGACTTATCAGATATTAAACTGATATCTTACTGCCATGTTTCAGATGAGGAAACTGAGTCTGAACAAAAAGGACTGACTCGCCCAAAGCCAACAATGGAAGCAGTGAAGTCAATATTGGTAAAATAAAAACAGCCAACATTTAGCTCCTGTACCCTACTAGGTGCCCCTCACATGTATTATCTTGTTTAATCCTTACAATCCTATTATTATCCCCATTAACAGATGACAAAACTGAGGCACAGAGTAGACAAATATGTACAAGATCACACACTAAGCTGGATACTCCCTCACTTTGGGAGGCGGAGGCAAGAGGATGGCCTGAGCTCAGGGGCTCCAGACCAGCCTGAGTAACATGGTGAAACCTCATCTCTACAATAAATCAAAAATCAGCTCGGCATGCCTGTGGTTCCAGCTACTTGGAAGGTTCAAGCAGGTCACCTGAGCCCAGCAGGTCGAGGCTGTGGTGGCCATGGGCATGCCACTGTACTCCAGCCTGGGCAACAAAATGAGGTTCCAACTGAAAAAAAAAAAAAAAAGGCCATGCACAGTGGCTCATGCCTATAATCCCAGCACTCTGGGAAGCTGAGGTGAGAGGATTGCCTGAACCCATGGGTTCAAGACCAGCCTGGGCAACTTGGCGAGACCTCAGCTCTACTATAAATCAAAAAAGTTAGCTGGGCATGGTGATACGTGCTTATAGTTCCAGCTACATGGAAGGCTGAGGCGGAAGAATCACCTAAGCCCAGCAGGTCAAGGGTGCAGTGGCTGTGAGCCTGCCAATGCACTCCAGCCTGGGCAGCACAGTGAGACTCCGACTCAAAAAAAAAAACAAAACACACACTAGTAGGCAGTGAGCCAGGATTTGAATCCCAGCAATCCAATTCTAGGGCCTTTGCTTCTGACTACTACTTGACTTCTGTGTTTGGGGGTAAAGAGAGGTGCAACTTAGGAAAAGGTGGTGAGATACCTTGTACTTGGTGGTAAAAGATTCAGGGGGCCACCTCTGCCCTGGGCTCCCCCACACCTTCTTAGAATCCTTGTGATACCCAAAGCAGCCTCCTGGGACCCTGGTACCACACTAGCCTCCGAGAGGGGATGAGCCCACTCCTCTTTCTGCTCCTCCTCTGCTCTCCCAGCAAAAATGCTTCCACAGCCAGGCATAGCTCACGCCTATAATCCCAACATTTTGGGAGGCAGAGACGAAAGGACTGCCTGAGCCCACGGGTTTGAGACCAGCCTGGACAACATGGCGAGACCTCATCTCTACAACAAATCAAAGAATTAGCCAGGCATGATGGTGCATGCCTATAGTTCCAGCTACTTGTAACGCTGAGGAGGAAGGATCACCTGAACCCAGCAGGTCGAGGCTGTGGAGGCTGTGTGTCACTGCACTCCAGCCTGGGCGACAGAGACTACGACTCAAAAAAAAAAAAATGATCCCACAAAGAGTACATTGCTTCGAGAGAAAACACTATATAAAAGATGTTATTATTTGGGAAGGCAGTGAGATAAAGCAGAAAGAAAGCAGACGTTGGACCCAGAAAAAGCTAAATACAAACCTGGATTCATCAATTACTTTGTGACCCTGGTAAGTTTTTGTTGTTGTTGTTGTTTTGTTTTGTTTAACTTTTTAGACCCTCAGTTTCTTCATTTGTGAAATGGACTTATTAATTACACCACAAAATACCTAGCAAAGAGATTATGGGGATTAAGTAAGATAATATATGCACACAATGTCTGACAGATATCAGACACACAGGCCTGTGATTTTAGGGAAACTCAGTTTCCTCATCTGTAACAGCTACCTTGAAACACTAGCGTGAGAATGACTGAACGGGCCTTGGGAGAAACTAGAATCAGTGCTTCTGAGAGAGAGAAACCCACAGCTGAAGGTCTCTGGAGAGGCGGTCGCCACGTGCCTCCAGGCGGGAATGTGTGACCGCGGCTTGACGTGAGGGTGCCGCGCCACCACCTTTCCCCGCCCAGTGCTCCTCCTGCCCGGCAACCGAGGGACCCTGCTCCCCAGCTCACTCCAGGGCACTTCGCTAAAGGCAGCGCGAGTGTCACGTGGAGCGGAGACCTCCCATCCTCCTTCCCCGCCCCACGGACACCTGCTCTGCAGCGCCTCGGTCACGAAGTCCTTCCCGGATTTCCTCTTCCCACTGAACAGGAGCAGCAGCCGCGGGGCGCCTCCCAGCGGGTCCATGGGACCGCCGCTCCGCGATCCCTACAGGGACGCTTCTCCCTACCCCTGCAGTCAGGCCACCCCGCGCGAAGCGGACGCGGCCACTCGGTGGAGCGGCCACGAGGAGGGATTCCGCCCGCCTTCTCCACGGCTGCAAAGAGGCCGGGCCGCCCGCACGAGCGCATGGGAACTCGTCCAAACCCGTGCGGACACAGAAAAAGGGCAGAAACGCGCAGAGGAAGGATGTGTGTATCCGGGGCAGCCTCCTCCCCTGAAGACGCTCCCCTGCCATAACTCACTTGGAACAGTCCGGCCCCGCCCAAAACCTTGCGTCACAGCCCCGCCTTCTCAGCAGACTCCCGGGAACGAAGCGGACACAACCACTTTCCTTGGGGCGGAGGGCGTCTTCAAACATCCCGAAGCGAGCCTTACATTCCCTTCCGCACAGCCTACAAATATTACGAAAAACTAACATAAACTTGGCCATGTGGGGGACGTTTGCAAACGGCCTCTTTACTTACGCATTATGATGCATGTGCTGAAGCAAACCAGCATTTGCCCCTGCAGTGAAAATGGGTCTTTCTGAAGATGTAACAAGCCAATGACGCATGGGTCGTTTGGTGACGTCATCTTGAGGGAGGAGCCTAATCGAACACGCGATTTTATTGTTAAACCGGTCTTGTAACTGGGGCAGCAGCTTCGGCTTGGCCTTATAAATCCAGGGAGACACCTTTCGTCCCTCTTCTTTTCTTTTTGAGTTGGAGTCTCACTCTGTTACCAGGCTGGAATGCAGTGGCACGCTTACGGCGACCGCAGCCTCGACCTGCTGGGCTCAGGCGATCCTTCTGCCTCAGCCTTCCAAGTAGCTGAAACCACAGGCGCGCGCCTCCATGCCCGGCTAATTTTTTGATTTATTGTGAAGACGAGGTCTCACCAGGTTGCCCAGGCTAGTCTCGAACCCCTGAGCTTAGGCAGTCATCTCGCCTCTGCCTCTCAAAGTGCTGGGATTACAGGCTTGAGCCACCGCGCCCTGCCGCTTTCGTCCCTTTTCTAGCTGCTGCCTCCTCCAATAGTGTTTGGAATGAGGTGGATGACATCAATAGTATAGGTTAAAAGTGACTTTGAAGCCACCGTGGACAGGATTGCCTGGTCTTCTGCAGAGTCCAGCTCCCAGCCTGGAAGGAGTGGGAGAGGCAGAAGCAGGGGAGGTTATCTGTCCTCCCTTCCCTAAATTCCAGGACCCGCCTCTGCCCTCAACAGCTGACACTCAGGACCAGTTGAGAAGTGGAGTTGTTTTTAGCCCTGACTTGCTTTTCTGAGCGTGTCAGAACAGAGCCTGCCACCCATGACTGCCTCCATTGCATGGTAGTGTGGACTGTAATGGTTTCAGAGAAAGGATTAATGCCCTGATTTTTTTTTTTTTTTTTTTTTTGAGTTGGAGTCTCACTCTGTCGCCCAGGCCAGGGGGCAGTGGCATACTCCCGGCCACTGCATCCTCAACTTGCTGGGCTCAGGCAATCCTTCTGCCTCAGCCTTCCAAGTAACTGAAATTACACGTGCCACCACACCTGGCTAATTTTTTTATTTAATGTGGAGATAAGGTCTCGCCAAGTTACCCAAGCTGATCTCGAACCTGAGGGCTTGGCAGTATCTCACCTTGGTCTCCCAAAGTGTTGGGATTATAGGCGTTAGCCACTATGCCCAGCCTCTTTCCTGAATATTTAAAAGAGGCACAGAAGAGTGGTCAGATGCAAAAAGAACAGACTTAAGTGGGTTGTTTTGTTTTGTTGTTTTTGAGTCAGTCTCACTTTGTCGCCCTGGCTGGAGTGCCTCAACCTGCTAGGCTCAGGCAATCCTTCTGCCTCAGCCTCCTGAGTAGCTGGTACTACAGGTGGGCCCCATCACACCCAGATAATTTGTTGATTTATTGTAGAGACAAGGTTTCTCCAAGTGGCCCAGGTTGGTCTTGAACCCCTGGGCTCAGGCAATCCTCTCACCTCTGCCTCCCAAAGTGCTGGGATTACAAGCATGAGCCACCACACCCAGCTTTTTTTTTTTTAAGCAACTCTAAAAGCACCACACTTACCAGTACACTAGAGGGCACCACAGAGTGGCAGAGTTGAATCCCAGCTGCAAGACCAGGAGCTTCAGCGTCACTGAGTTCACCACTGCTAATGCCCACCTCCCAGGGTCACAATAAGGAGGAAAAGAGGAAGACAGAGGATAAAATACAATAAAATAATTTTGTAAGTCCTGAAGTCATTCAGATGTAAGGGGTTGTTACTTATTCTCACCATTTTGTGATTTTTAAGTTTGTAATTTCACACAAGATCAGATTTTCCAGCTCATCTTCAATAAATATCCAGGACTCCACCGGAAGCTCAAATCTCCTGCTTACTTGAGTCACCACAAGGAAGGAGTCAGAACTCCTCACCTGACCCAATCCATGTCCCTTACTTACCTCCCTCCCCTGCTCTGAAATCAGGCTTCCTGGAATTCCTAGTCAGTGATGAGAAAACTTCTCCCATTCCTAGCCTCTTGCCACATTCACCACCAGCCCATGAAACTTTTTGTTTTGTTTTTTTTTTAGTAGGTCACAGCCACTGCAGCCTTGACCTACTGGGCTCAGGTGATTCTTCTGCCTCAGCCTTCCAAGTAGCTGGAACTACTGGCGTGCACTATCAGCCCTGGCTTATTTTTAGATTTATTGTAGAGACGAGATCTCACGTAGTTGCCCAGGCTGGTCTCAAACCCCTGGGCTCAGGCAGTCCTCTCGCCTCAGCCTCCCAAAGTGCTGGGATTACAGGCTTGAGCCACCATGCCTGGCCATTTTATTTATTTATTTATTTATTTATTTATTTATTTATTTATTTTGAGTCAGGGTTTCCCAGGCTGGAGTGCAGTGGCTTGATTATGGCTCACCAAAGACTCAGCCTCCTGGGCTCAGGTAATCCTTCTGCCTCAGCCTCTGTAGTAGCTGAGGCTACAGGTGCTGCCACCATGTCCAGCTAACTTGTTTTTGATTTTTTTTTAGAGACAAGATCTTGCTATGTTGCCTAAACTGGTCTTGAACTCCTGAGCTCAAGCTGTCCTCTTGCCTCGGCCTTCCGAAGTGCTGGGATTACAGGTGTGAGCTACCACACCCGGCAAAACTCTTTACATTCTATAACATCTGTTCTGCCTTCCTTCACATTCTATAACATCTGTTCTGCCTTCTTTCCACAACCAAGAGGAAAGTCAAACAAGTTATGGGTTAGCCTTTGTAAACTGTAGAGTGCTGGCCTATGTGAGGCACTTTCTGAAGGCTGGATGCTGTTGAGGGGGAGGCAAGAAAGAGGGCAGAAGCAGGACTGTCTGACAGGAGCAGAGACAACTGGGGAAGGGGGGTGGCTAGAGTCCATGGGGACTCAAAGTGGAAGCCAAGGATATCTGACTCCGCTGCTTCATGGGGAGATTTGGGAAAATGATGCTTGAGGAAACCAGTGCTGGTGGAAGACAAAAGAGACGTGTGCCCAGAACTCAGGAACACAGTTGCCCTGAGAGTCACTCTTCACTAAAGGGGCAGACCTCGCTGGTTAAGAGCACAGCTTGGAAGTCAAATCTGGGCCTGCTTGAAGGAAGCCTGCTCACTGCATTAACACACACAGAGCTGGGTCTGCTCACCCAGCGCTGCAGAGCCTGGAATGGGCAGTGGGGCTTTGTCAGTGTCCCTCCAATCCCTGCCCTAGCAGAGGAACCCAGAACAGGGGTGTTCCATGGTCAGATCCCAAAGCATGTCTGTCCCATAGTGAAACCAGATGCCATCTATCCTGCTCTCAAAAAACATTCATTCTCAAGGGATAAGGCAAGTGCAAGATAGCTTAAAAATAGGGTGTAGCCCGGCTTGGTGGCTCAGCCTCTAATCCCGCGCCTTTGGGAAGTTGAGGTGAGTAGATTGCCTGAGCCCGCGGGTTCGAGACCCGCCTGGGCAACTTGGCGAGACCTCATCTCTACAATAAATAAAAAAAAAATTAGCTGGGCGTGGTAGCGCGGGCCTGTAGTTCCAGCTACTTGGAAGGCTGAGGCGGAAGGATCGCCGGAGCCCAGCAGGTCGAGGCTGCGGTGGCCGGGAGCGGCCACTGCACTCCAGTCTGGGTGACAGAGTGAGGCTCCAATTAAAAAAAAAAATAGGATGTGACAGACTTTATCCCAAAACTAGAGAGAGAAACTTGATATACATGAATCTTTGCAGGGTGCCCTGGTGGAAGTTGGAAATGGCTCTGACTCTGCATTCAGTGTCATTCCCTTTGTCTGAAATGCCCTTCCTAGTTTGTGTGTGTGTGACAAACTCCTGCATATATTTCAACATCTAGCTTGGGCTGGGTGCAGTGGCTCACATCTGCAATCCCAGCACTTTGGGAGGCAGAGGCAAGAGGATTACCTAAGCTTAGGGGTTTGAGATCAGCCTGAGGAACATGGTAAGACCCTATCTCTACAAGAAATTGAAAATTAGCTGGGCATGGTGGCTCATGCCTGTAGTTTCAGCTACTTGGAAGGCTGAGGTGAAAGTATCACCTGAGCCCAGCAGGTCGAGGCTGTGGTGGCTTTGAGTGTGCCATTGCACTCCAGCCTGGGTGACACAGAGTGAGACTCTGACTCAAAAAAAAAAAGAGAAAAAAAATCTAACTTGGTTTGTCCCCTCCAGAGAGCCTTCCTTGATTCCCCCAGCCATGTCTTAACTAGACCCCCATTTTCCATGCCTCTAATACACCCTGTATTCGCCCACATCACAGTATCTTATTCTATACTATAGTTATTAAGTCATTGATATATCCCCCCAGATAGCTAATAGTTTGCATTTGTTGAGTATATATCATGTGCCAGACTTCTTCTCACTTAATTAAAAAGGAACTGAGCTGGGCATGGTGGCTCATACCTGTAATCCCAGCACTTTGGGAGGCTGAGGCAGGAGGATTGTTTAACCCACGAGTTCCAAAAAGGGAACTGAGCCTCAAAGTCAGGAGTGCTAAATAGTAGAGCCAGATCCGTCTGACTCCAGAAAATGTTTTCCTGACCAGGGCAGCCTCCTGAACAGGCAGATCTGGCTTCCAGCAGCAGCAGGAGTTCCTTCCCAGTGTT